GTGTGTAAACTAAGCTTTAACTAAGGAAAAACTCACAGTCTGTTTGTTGTTTGACAGGCTATAAAATCATTCACATGGTTATTAACATTATTGCTTATTATTTGATTCCCTAAACTACAGTAATAAAAATACAGTAACAGGAATACATCAAAATGAAATGAGTGTTATTTGTTAGTGGTAATTCCTGGTATATCACTGATATATGTTTTTGCCTCTCATGTTGTGGTCATTTCCATCCCCAGCATGTTCACTGTGCTCTGTCGCCACAAGGTGGTCGTACTCGGTATTAAAAAGTACATGCACAGTATTTTCACACTCATGAAGCTGAGAGACTCAGTGTTTTAAATAATGCTGATGCCATGGGAAAATGAGGGTAATTTCATGGGGAGAATGGTATAGTTATTGCAGCTTTCAATGGAAGTGCGCCACTTCATATACATAGGTTGGAAATATCTAATTAGATTTTTCATTACCCCCACGCAGAAAGCACACTTTACAGGAGAGGCTCCCAGATGCTGGAGATTGTGTGGGGGGCTGGGATCCAAATAACTGGCATATAATTTGGGAGTGCCCTGTAATACGACAGTTTTGGTCTGAGATGCACTTTCCTTTTTAATACTTTTATTTTAGATTAAGCTGACTTTCAACACTTTAACAAATACTTATTCGCTGTTCTGATATCTGCCGGAAAGAAAACCATCACAAGACATTTGCTGCATCCTGACCCCCCACAATAGCAGAATGGATAGATATAGTTCATGAAATATACATAATGGAAAAAGATTACCTTCTCACTTCATCTGTGAATGAATAGACAGTCACGGCCACATTTTTTGGTGTTGAGAAATTAATAGATCCCATAAAGGATGCCTATTTTCTCCTAAGCAACTTAAAAATAATGTACTGGAATGCCTCCCAAATTGTTACACATTTACATTTTGTTGGCAGGTTAAGGTACATGTCTTTTCCACCTGTCCTCTCAGCTTCGTCAGTGACGGCTCAGTTCAACTCCAGAGCTCTCCGTCACCATTGTCACCTGTTTCCCTAGCAACAGCAGCATGGTGGCCATAGCAATGGCTTCAGGTGGGCTGTCAGCCTTGTCAGGGGACTATAGAGGGAACACCAATAACAATCAGTATTTTGGAACTATATTTTAAGGTTTCTGTTTCCACCACTGGTTGGGGTAGTTTGAGCTGTCAGGACATCACCAGACTCACAGCTACCTCCCTGCTGTACACTCATCAGCCAGCGTTCACCTGTGAGATCCAGTTCTGCATCGTTCCCCATGAGGCGCTGCACCTGATCTCCCTATTCTCACTTTCTGGTGAGAGTCAAGAGAAGTTATGCTCCATGGGCGTGATACAAAACAGAGCCTTGGTACCAAACAAATCACATACTGAATAATTAACTGTGTACCAAAGTGTTTCAGCTGTGTAAGCTGAGCTGCAGGCTAGTTAAATAAATGGGGATTAGGATAATGTGTTGTAAGAATACTATTAAGACGAGTGTGAGAACTACTGCATGACAGTGTGTAAATATTAGGAATGTCCTGATCCGATCTCAAAAATCAGTACTGGGGCATTTTTCAACTGATCAGGGCCGGCTTTATTGAGCTACATTGAGCCCAGTGCTTTGTTTTACATCAACAGTCCCACAAGCGATTTTACACTTGGTTTACACAAGGTTTCATGCACAGCAATGTAAGGATTGTCATCGTCGTTAAACCTCCAACTCATGTCTGTCCTCCATTCGGTATCCCACGAAACATGACACGCCATAAATAACAGAAAAACGCTGTATGAGATTTTATGTCACTTACAAGTTATGAGTCAAGTCAAGTCAAGTTTATTTCTATAGCACATTAAAAACAACCTCAGTTGACCAAAGTGCTGTACAGGCTATGCATGTGTGCGCATATGAGCACAAGTTGCAGCTCAGTGTGAGAGTCTCTTGCATTTTGCTGTTGTCTCTGGCACATGGTGTTTCACCATAGGCAAAGGAGAGACAGACAGCAGTGGAAAGCCCAAGACAACCACACTCATGACACTACTGCAAGTGCAACAAAAGCCATGCAAGCAAAAAGCAGTAAGAGTATTTTATTAATGTAATCAGCGCATATGTACAGACGAAGACAATAAACACTTAACGGAATACAGTATTCAGATAGGCTAAAAAGGATGAACTGAGGCAACACTGAAAAGAGGGAGACAGGAAAAAGGTAATGCTGGCCAATTATAATTCTGATCGTCAGCTGGCTCAGAGCCTCATTGCTTTTTATGTTAGATTTGACGCTTATGATTTTAGCAATAAACACTCTGAGATCAGAAACAGACTTCTGTTGGCCCCTCCTTTAAATCCTTTTTTTGATAAACAGAGTCTCATCAAGTTTTTTAAAAGGTGTAAACCGAGGAAAAGTCCTGGGGCCTCATGTACAAAGGATAAGTACGCACAAAAACGTGGCGTATGTCCTTTTCCGCGGCAAAGTTCGGATGTATCAAGAGTGAGATGACCGTGGAAATGTGCAGTGCCTTACGCCAACTTCATGGCTGGCGTATGAACGTTTCTACAGCTCTTGATCCTTTGGTGACACTTAGAGGTGATGCTGGGAAACTGTGATAATAAATAAATGTGAAAACAATTAGTCCTCAAAGTGATGTGCACATCAGAGACACATAAACAATTAACACTGATGAACAATTAAAACACCCATGTGTCTGCAATTAGATGAGTGGATATAAAAGCATGCGCAAAGTGGTGCCGAAAATACCATTAACAACAACAGCTGCTTTAGCAGGCACGGCGTCAAGGTGACTAAAACACTCTGGTCAGCTCTGGCAAATTTTGTTGTTCTATGAGGAGACTTAACATTTTCTGTAAATGTTACATCCTGTAGTCTACTGTANGGTTGTAGTCGTCCTCTATAATGGAAAGAATGAGCCAAGATCTGTGCTTTCTCAAGCTGTCTTTAAGTCATCAGACTACCATTAACCAGTTTTAGACAGCCTGGATCCTTGATTAAATATGCCTTTATTTGTAATCTTGGTTTACCCCAGTAGTCTAACAAAGAAGGTATTCAAAGAGTTTAGTATTTCCCCCATCCCCCATGACTGCCACTACATGGAAAAGGCGTGGTTTGTAGTCATTAAGCCAATCACATGCAAAATCAGCATTACTGTACACCCCATCAAGTTAGAGAAATGCACCATGTGTGTTGTGAGTGTTTGACAAGGACCACTTTAATC